TATAACCTATAAAACCCTGTCCGTCTCAATTATAAATGGGACAATAGTGGCATAAACGTCCCACATTATAACAACAACAATCCGATGTATTTCTTAACCCCATTTTTTTTTATTATTTAAACTCCTTCTACCTTGACGTTATTTTCTTCATTTTTTTTTTCTTTTTGAACTGGTCGTTTTTGATCATCCCCTCTGGCTTGTGGCGGTACCATTTCTCGACAAATTCAAATCCATATTCTCTACATAGGCACCCACGCAGATGGGTGACTCTTTATCATGGCGGCTTTTATATTCTATCCGCGCAAACATTCTACAAGCGCTAAAGATAACATTTCCAACTTCCATTCCGCACCGCCTGAACTAATCCGAATATACTTGCCGGCAGATATTGTTCAGAACAGAATTAAAGACTTGGTCTTTATTATTAATTTTATCAATATTATTATTATTATTATTATTATTAGTAGTAGTAGTAGTAGTAGTAGTACTGTTCAATTTCACCTTTTGTTACAGATGCCATAATGGTGGATACTAATTTTGAGATTTTTGTTATTTTGATGCATTTTTGTTTAAAACTGGGTTTGAAAACCCCCGACTGTTTTCACATAATGCAAAATTTTGTAGTAACTGAAATAATATCTAACTGTAATCTAGTTGTTCAATTATTTAAATGTTTATGACTTCTCCTTTGAAATAAAGCCCATTAAATTATGACTAATACGATTTTGATGCTTTGAAAAGTTGTAGAAAGATAAAATTTTTGTCCATTATGAACTTTGACCTGACAGAAAATTATCAGTAGCGTTCATTGATGACACCCAAAGTTAGTAACAAAAGATGATCTTTCGATTGAATAAGTGATTTTTAAGAATTATTTTTTAGAGATAAGAATGATTTACTGATACAAATAAATTACTAATTAACCCTTAGGTGGAGGGAAAAGAGGTCGATTCATATCTTTCCCAATAATATTTGTGCGTAAGTAAATATCACGAACCCGACTGGATTTGAAAACCTTTCAGATTTGGCGTTCATCTTATTCTAACGCACATATAAACCCACATATAATACCCGTACACGCACGCGCCCACATTTACACATACACACATATATATTATGATATACATATTATTTCTGATAATGATACTGTGAAAGAAAGTTTTTTGTTTGCTACTTGATGCTGTACTTTAAACTGAGTACGCTATTTTCCGACTATGTATTCAACATTGTCCCAACACGTCACGTCGAGATAGGTTTATGGCATTTTTATGGTAAATATTATATTAATAGTTATATTACTATAGACTTTTTCTGGCAGCATGACGTTAAATCATGTTAGTTGTACAGAAATATCATAAGACATAGAGAGGAAAAAACATAAAAAAATAAACATATAAGTTGCGTGAAGTACATGGAAAATGATTTCGTAACCATAAATTTCAGTGATGAATGTAGAGCTATATTATATAATATTAGCTGGAAATAGTCAAGTAAAACGACTTTGAATATAAGAGTATAAGTGGTTTGGTATTATAGGTCCCTTTAAAGTTGATGTTACTGATATATATATATATATATATATATATATATACTTTAATTATATATATACTTTAATTTAATTTTTATAATTGAATTGGAAGTTTTTAGCTCCTGTTTTTGAAACATGGTAATTCCTGTGTAGCGATGGAATCATTTAAGAAAAAAAATAATTATAACCTACGCTCTAATTGTGTAACGAGCACTGTTTTTTAAAAATAAAAGCAAAAATACTAATGAACTTCGGATCATCAATCTAACGGTACTTTCCTATAATATCAATATATTTGCACACACACACACACACACATATATATAAGAGAGTCGAATTCAAGTTCCGGCCACGACCTTTGCGTTCACTTTCCTACAATTGCAATTGGAAATGCCAGAAATACATTTCTTCTTCTTGCAACTATGTGTTAAATAATAGGGTAGATTGGACTGTCTAGTCTTGTGTAGGGACTGATCTAAGAGAAAGAATACTATCAATTCCAAACTGTAGAGAAAGCAACGGAAAATTACGTTAGGGGCGGGGGGCAGGGGGAGATAGTAACGTAATTTTCCGTTGCATGAAAGCATGGTAATTCGTAAATAATAAGAAAATTTGAATTTGTGGAGAGTCATGAATACTTACGCCCTTGAGAAAATAAAGCATTTATTTGATAAAAAGAAAGAAAAAATCGAGATGAAGAACACTATCAATATCCACTGTAATTCTGAATGTCCATTGTCTATTTTTGGATTTCTTTCACTCTTAGAATCGGACAACTACCCTTTATTCAGAATTTAAATATCTGGCTACACTTGAAGGCAACCTCTCGGTGCATGTGAAATGTTAGTCAATGTACAAATTGTATCCAATCGAACCCATCTAGTCGAAAGTCATCTTGACACTGATGAATAAAGGGGGGGATTTTTTTTCTATTCTAGATATACCCGAATAATTTGAGCATACATTTTTCTGTCTTCTTCAACAGTTCTTTTGTCGGCAGCGTTCTTGAAAGCTGAACTACTTTCCGAGGGAATCCTTCATATACAATTCTTCAAGTCATGCAACATTGAACAAGTGCGACGATTAAATGACGTTTGATTGTGAATACAAATCTTACAAAAGAAATGATTGTCTATTTTTTTTAAAAAAATGGCTGCTTACAAAAGTGGGAAAATAAAACAAAAAAAAAAGATTAAAAGTGTCTAAGGTTTTGTGGGAAAAACTTCGAAAGAGTGTTCAGAAATTCAGACATAAGGACTTACAGACCTTTTTTCCAAAAAGGTAACAATTTCAATACTGTACTCCTTAAATTATTTTCATTTTTCTTCGGAAAATTGTCTTAATCTTTACTACTTTGCAAAAAACCCGTTTTAGCAGATATCTTTCAGTCTTTGAGTATGGTTTGAAGGTTCGAGAGTCACTCAATGTAGAGGAATACTGCTATACGTATATATCTCTATCTATAAAAGGCAGGATGTATGTGTGTGTGTATGTGTGTAACGAATGCACAGCTGCAATTTTCGACAGATTTGCACATGCTCCAAGTAAGTGGGAAGGCGAAGTCAGACTTTGCATTTCGCAACTCTCATCGATAGTGGAAATAATCGATTTTTCATGCTTCTACGGCAGTTTTCATGTAGTTTGCGGCCATTTTCTACTGGCCAAACTGAGAGCCTATAGCTGGCTGCCACGAATAGGCAGGATGATTCTATTGGTCAGCGTGAGAGCCAACAGCTGACTGACACGAATGTTAACTAGCATGCTAGCATGCAAAAAAATCGATAGCTGCATTCATCACAAGTGGGAAAAATTTAAATCTGCATCTGATCGTTTTGTGTTCATTTTGTTCTTTTTTCGTAACAGATTTAATGTTTAGTATAGAACTTCGCAGTGTGAGATAGGCAAGAAGTAAGGCATGTAGCAACATCAGCATGGCAAAGGGCACTCCTTTAAAGGCAAGGAAGGGCAAAAATATTTTAATTCAAGTAATAGCGATTGCTGTATGAGTCGTACGCTTTTTGAATCAAGCACGGGCAACGCCGGGCCATGCTGCTAGTCTATAATATGTATAGTATAGTTGGCCACTCGTATTCGATGATACACGTCTACTAGGGCGGCTAGCCAATCCTTATTGCAGACGCTTACTCATGCGCATCTGTGCTTATTCAGACCCACAAAGCCTACCCGTGGTTTATACTGCAACTATGCTGAGCAGACCATAGTTACAGTTTCTGGGATAGAGCGTGTTATGGGTACGTGGCCGATTAGTTCGAATCTCACCTTGGTCGATTTGTCAGGGAGACTTCTTGATGTTATCCGACTGGAAAAGGGTCGATCCCAGTATGCGGCACCTTTAGAAAGTGCCTGAAAACCATACCACGCGTTGACCCAAGCCTTGTGAGTGAAATTGGGTAGACGGAACCCTTGGAGGCCTTCGATAGCTGTGCTAGCAAGAAGTCATCGTGGCTGAGGGCTTGAGTGTGCTGGCCTTGTTCAAATTGTTGTTTTATAATATGTATATAAATGTGTCACCCATATGAAAGCCGGAATGGTCAGTGATTGGCCAGAGTATATTGCAGGCGTGGTCTTCTGACAGTGATGGATTGACTTTGTCTGGATTTTGAAATTAAGTCCAAAATTTAAGTCCGAATTTAACAGAGGGTCGCAAGAATTCTGAAACGTCGATACGCTTCCCACACTCAGGTTCAAGAGACCAGAGATGCTTAACCAATGTGCGACATGCTTTCCCGTGACGTCATTGCTCCCGCTGCCTCCTAGAATCCAAGCTGCCACCTCTGTCTCCCTCTAATATAAACCAATAAGCAAAAGAAATCTTCCTTTTCGTTAATGCCATTCTATGTAGTAGTACGGTAGCTCAGAGACGGCACAAAACGCAACATATGTTTAAGTATATAGACAAGTATTTATAAGTGGTTAAATTAAGAAACTCAGAGATGATATTCGACAAATATTGCGAAGTTTATGATTTCTGAGACAATAATTTTTGCTCTAGCAACTATCGTGCATTCTATTCGTAGGAATTCCGTTCGCCTTGTTATTATACAATATAACATTCATCAGTGAGTACATTATTATCCTTATTTCATTAAACAGGTTTAATCAGTTCTTTTAGGACACGTCTTTTAATAGCTCCTTTTTCTATCTTCTGATTATTATTTCTTTTCAGATAAATAAGAAAAATCAAGCTAACTCAGCAAATGAAAATGCACGCTATAATCGTTGCCTTAAGAGCTGATCGTTGTAATTTAAAGATTGGTCGCTTCCTGAAAGTTGTATTCTCGTTTGTTGTCAAAGGTCACAAAGAGCTGGAAGTTGATGACGGGTATTCTACAGCAGTAGCCAAAAGTAAAACGCCTGAAGTGTCCTAATACGATCAAAACACCTAAATCTGAACAAACGGAAATCTGAAGAAAAACGGCGATAAGAACTCCAGAAAATCAATTAAAGTCAT